GTTTCCTCGATGATACAATGATAAAATGAATTGAATTGATTAATCTTTCGTCTCTTAATACATTTTATTTGAATAATTTTTATCAGGTGAATAACTAATATATGATGCAGACAGCTTTGTAGAGGCTTTGTCCATTTTGACATTAGATCGACGAATGTTTTCCCAATATTTTATTTCATTATACGACTTGAAGCTCTGTAAACTATTCTCAGCCGTTATACTATTTTGAAGTGTTTCCAAGTTACCTGCGTCAAAATTTTCCTTGAATTTACTCAATCTCTATGTGAATGGTGTACTTAGGCCCTAATTATTAACTTTCACAAATTAATCGAATGTTCGTTTCCTTATTAAAAATGATTATACATTCAAATATTTCAAAATTCGCCTATGCGACACCTCTATGCCTCACCTTTTTAGCGGCAGCAGGCTAATAGCACCAATAGGACTGCGGATATTAATGAGTCCTGACGGATTTATAAGCTAACCTATTTGGAGCGTATTTTCAGGATTCGTATTAGAGTTTTATTCAAAAACAATTTTAAAACATCCTTTTTTATCTTCGGTGGCTTCACTACCCCCCTATAAACTCCTCATCGAAAAATATTCGAACGCATAAATATTTCATACTCATGCCATCCCGACACACTGGCGGTAACATTTGCTGCCATATTTATTTTAGAGCTTTTTATAATATCCTAGGCCTCTAAATACGCTTACGATATTATTTCTCCTTATTGGAAGAATCCATAACGTTTTTAACTCTTTGGAACACAGTTTGCTGTGTGAAGTTATAAATATAGGATATTAAGAAAGTGATACAAGTTATTAAGTAACGATTCTTAGATTTATATTCCCATCAAAAAAAATTAATTGCTACCTTGTTTGCCCCATTTTTTCCATTTATTTGCTTCGGCTGATTTCACTTAATACCTTTGCGTAACAAAGACTTAATATTATTTTTTCATCATTACAGTTTATTTCAATATTTATTATTACCTTTGGTACTGCATGCTGAAAAGTGTATCTACATTTTAAAGATTAATATCGGATTGTTTTAGTCATACAGTGATTATGTCTTCCTGATTCAATGTTTTGATAATTATACTTGAGATCTCTATATAACTACTCAGTGCTTGTCCCATTTGCTATTTCCAGGTGTTCGATGTTCTTTTTCATCCATCAGCTTTCGAAATAGCTGAAAAGCAAATCTCACTGGCTCGCATGATTAATTCTGTGGCTCTAACCAGCATTCAGCGCCAGTTCAATTTACGGCTTGGAAAGTCATCTGATCAGGCCAGGCAGTTGGAAGCAGCTCTTCAAGCAGTGAATGAAATTTCACCTAGTTCATCTTCTACCCGCGTTGATTTATTAATATCTAAGTGCACACATCGACTTGTCGGAGTTACTTACAAGGCAAAGCTCCTTTTCTAACATTCCTTTGAGAATCCGGTTGGAAATAAAATTCGATTTAACTTACT